GTGCAAAATGATGTGTAGCAAATAATTAAAACATAATTGCTATAGAAGAAGTTCTTCCTAAACCCCAACAATTAGCAGCTGCCCAATGCCCCGAAGCATGACCGCTTAATTGCAGATGAGTTAAAGTATTAAGTTGTCTAATGATTGAAATCGTTCTTCCCTTTGTGACCTCTTTCCAGTGCAAGAAATACACCCTGCTCCAGTTGGGTATTATAAATGCAGGGATCCTGTTCTTATTCTTTGGCCCTTTGTGTAGCCTGGCATCAGTTGGTAAATTAAGAAAGGCCATTGAATGACCCTGCTTGCCCAAGTGTAAATGGTTGTGCAAGGTGTAAGGCACTGGAGAATCAGGCCCAGAAGGCCAATGTAATAAAGAAGCTACATCTGAGAAGCATGTTCACCTGCTATAAGGCCACTGAACTCCCATGAACTAGTATTGCACATGTCCAGCTAAGGAATATGTGGCATAAAGTGTGAAGTTACGGCCTAGCTGTAAGCCTTTAAAGATTCCTATGACTGAAATGCAAGGCTGCATGCCGGCAGGTATAGTGAGCACTTTTAAAAACAGAATAATGTAGAGTCTAAGTCCTGCGACAGGCTCCATGCAGAGGCATGATTGCCCAGCTCTTCCTGTGGGGAGAGTCTGGCTCATGGCTCTGTTGAACAAGGTGGAACTGCACCATCAGCTCACCCAGGCAGGGGTCTGAAAACCCAGGTTGCTGCAAGACTCAGCAAGGCCAAAACACGGTCACGAGAGTGAGCAGGGCCGTGCTGTGGTCTCCAATATACACAATAGCCTGCCTTCCAGTAGGGGCCCAGCCGGCTCCCTTCCCCGTCAGTAGGACCCTCGTATGGCTCTCTTGCTGCAGCCCCAGGACTCCCTGCTGCCCTCCCTGTTAGGGTCACTGCGGCCTTCTTCTCTAGCTGATTGCCTGGAAGGTGGTTGCATCCTCTGTTCCACGTTCCCTGAAAAAGGGCCACTGGGGAAAGCAGGCCTCGCAGGGCCAGGCAAAGACGTACGCGATCTTCACTGCATGCACCACGAGTGGCACCGAGGACTGTAACTGCTCTACTCACAATGCGAGCAGCTGAGCACACGCCTAGATCTGCAGGGCCAGCCTCAGAGGGCAGGTGAAAGGAAGTTTCATATGACCACTAGAGGACACCAAATTCTAAATTGCGTGACTGGTTGGAGAAAGCAAGGCAGCTCTTCAAGATCAGAGTCCAGAATGAAAGGTACATGCAAGCATTCGATTTGCTGCCTTGCTTCAAATAGCGTCTATTACAAATGGGAAAATACAAGGATAAAATACTATTTTATGTTTTGGCTGGAACCAGGTGTTCACCCTCTTTGCAGATATATTTATTAGGGGTGTGAAAGTGTAACCGTGTACACGGTTAAGCGATGAGCCTGGACTCGTCGGTTAATCGTCATGGTTACCGGCAGGCTGCCAGTATGCATGGGGAGCCGGCTCCCTGTGCACACCTGCTCCTGGGGAGCTGACTGCTGCCCTGTGTGCAACCCATGAAATTTTCAGCGGTTGCAGGGTTCCTTAATTAAATGCATTTGAACATGCCTAATAGTTATATATCTGAAGTAGTTATATATTTTCTTCCACTATTTGATCTGAGGAAGTGGGTCTGACCCATGAAAGCTCATCACCTAATAAACCATCTTGTTAGTCTTTAAAGTGCTACACAGTCCTGTGTTTTGTTTCAGCTGCACCAGACTAACATGGCTACATTTCTATCCGTTATATATCTGAGAGAGAACAGTACACGCAATCTAAGTTTCATGCACAAGTTGTACCAGATTTTAACTGAAGATGTGCTTTTTACACTACAGGTCGGACCTCCCTCATCCAGCGCCCCGGGACCTAATCGGTCCTGAACTAGGGAGTTTCCCAGACCAGGGAAGGTCAACTTTGATCTTTCCGCTAACAGACTCACGGCTCTCCAAGTATCGATCAGCAGACCCAGCTGGGCTCCCCTACTGGCCACTGTCCAGGCTCCGCTCTTGGCCTCAGCCGCCAGACTCCCTGCCCTAGGGCTGCTGGCTTGATGGCTGATGCCAGCCCTGGCTGCTGGGCCCCCAGTCAACAGACCTTTGTGGCCCAGGGGCTCTCTGGTCCAGCGATACCCATGGTCCTTCCTGTAGCAATCTGGCTTGCATTTACAATTTTACAGGTAACAGCTAAAATGGTATAACCCGTTCTAAACTGATATAAGAAAGTGTGCCCACAAAGTGTGCCACGGTTCAAAATCCAGTGCGGTTTGGGTGCACGTGCCAATTGCAGCATGCATGCCAACCATCAATGACTCAGGCACATAAAGCACCCGACGACCACGTGGGAAAACCCTCAGCTGCAGAGGCAGCCTTTTAAAGTTATAATAGGAGCACTAGTGCAGGCGGAGTTCACAAACGGGTGCTTGGAGGTTTTTAGCAGAAGAGAGTCCGGGATGCTTGCCGCTCAGGCAGGGTCCAGGCAGATGGTGGAGCAAGCGTGGGAGGAGAGGGCAAAGGGAATGCTTTAGGCATGAGGTGATAGCTAAGTGGAAGAGGAATAAAAGAAGTTGGGAGAATAATACAAAGGCCACACTGTGCCGCCAAGTAGAGATAGTGGCAGGAGTATTTACCAAATAGCAGATCATTAATAGAAATTTGAACCTCTGTTAACTGGGACTCCCTGGTCCGGCAACCAGACCATGGATGTTCCAGGACTAGAGAGTCCCGATGGAAAGCTGGTGTCTGGGCTTCCCGCAGCTGGGCTGCGAGGTACAACTCAGCGGGGCTGCCTGGCGTGGCCAGGAGCCTGGTGCACTGGGAATTGGGCTGCCTGATTTAGCAAGGAAGTGGGGGTCAGAGCTGACAGGGCAGTGGGGATGGCAGCCTGAAAGAGGGTTGGCCAGGAGGCCACCAACCAATCCAGGGCTGGGGATTGATGGCAGGGAGGGGCCAGATATGACCTCCCCTGGTCCAGCAAAATCCTTCATCCAGGACCAGTCAAGCACCAAGGGAGGTCCAACCTGTATCAGCATTCTCTTGGTCTTTAATTTCTTCCCTACTTAGAAAGGGGTCTATGTTTAATCCTTGCCAGATTAAATTACACTATCCCTTGGTACATTCTTACAAATGACAATCAAGCGTGGCCTGATTTTTTTACTACTTCCTATGTATCATTTTATATGTACATCCCATATGCTCACGTATTTCCTATAGTTCTCCGATACTGATCTAGTCATACTCTGTGTGTATCTGACTTTCCTCCCATTACGTGGTGTACCGCTGCCTTGTACTGGATGGTGTGTCAGAAAGGAGGAGAGGAAACAAGTTGGCTGCGCCTAGACTGGCATGATTTTGCGCAAATGCTTTTAACGGAAAAGTTTTTCCATTAAAAGTATTTGCGCAAAAGAGCCTCTACACTGGCACGGATGCTTTTGCGCAAAAGACATCTTTTGCGCAAAAGCATCCGTGCCAGTGTAGACGCTCTCTTGCGCAAGAAAGCTCCAATGGCCATTTTAGCCATCGGGCTTTCTTGCGCAAGAAATTAACATGGCTGTCTACACTGGCCCTTTTGCGCAAGAATACTTGTACAAGAGGGCTTATCCCTGAGCGGGAGCGTCGGAATATTTGTGCAAGAAGCACTGATTTTGTACAGTACAAAGTCAGAGTTCTTGCACAAATACTCACGGCCAGTGTAGACAGGCGGCAAGTTTTTGCGCAAAAGCGCCTGCTTTTGCGCAAAGTCTTGCCAATCTAGATGCACCCATTATGTTTTTGGTGATGCAGCTGATGTAGACATAAAAATCCTTTTACATAAGGGCTAATGCTTCACAGGCTGGCACACCACAGCAAAACAGAGCACCTGTCTTCATGAAAGTAAACATCATCTCCTGGGAAGTCAATCAAGCTACTGCTTGGTAACGTAACAGAGCTTTAAGGTGCTGTCCAGTCTTGTTTTTAGCGCATTAGGGGGTGAGCAAAATCTGCTTTGTAATAGCTGAAGGCTGGTTTATAAGCAACTGCCTTTCTGCCCATGCTCCACAAATATTCCTTATGCACAATGGGTGAAATTCTGTGTTTAAGCTTCACCCTTGCAAGCTGGCTGGAGGCCAATGTGCATGCCTGAAGGTGGAATTTTGATGAATAGGTATTGGATGTGCAAATCCCTTAGATGGCATTGAAAATCTCAGCCTTGGTGGTTGATTTTTGTTTGTCTAGCTAGGATGCCCCCTCAGCTGATTCCAAGAATCAGAGCCTCTCAGTCTTTAATGTGTTTATCCTCACAACATCCTGGTATGGTAAAATCCATAGAGGAGCCAGCAATTTCCACAAGGTTGCCACCAGATCCCACCATTGGGGTGCTTAGCTCACACTTTCTTGGCGCAGAGGTGCATGTGGGTTCCATGGGAGCAGGGCCTCTATGGAAAAGTCAGCAGAGCCTGAAACTGGGTATTTTCGTGAGGACTCTGTGCTTGATTTCTGAGAGGACAATGCATGAAGTCTGGAAGCTTAGTCAAAGCTCTTGGAACGGTAAGACTTGGAAATCTCTTGTGAACCGTATGGAACTCCCTAGAGTAGAATAGCTAGAAATGCCACGAGGAGAAGCTTTTTCCAAGCCCTGAAGCAAGATGTGCCGAACTTGAACTTGTTTGAACCTTAAAAATGCTCTAAATTCAGACAGGTTGGTTCTCAGTGTCTGTAGTTCTTCCATCTGTGCCACAGATCCACCTCGTAGTCTTTGAGCTGAGTTGTGGACTATGCAGCTATGTCTTTGCAGAAATCTCTGCTGGACAACCAATATGCAAGTCTAACTATTCAGAGATCAGAGAGAGAAAAATAAAGGCTCTAGTTTTGCCCCCAAAGTTGGAAAACTAGATTAAACCAGATTAATGTGAAACATTGGAAACAGGAAAACTTCAGCTCGGTTACTACTAAACCAAAAATGGACAATAACCAAAAGAGAATTTAAAAAAATATTTAATCACACTTGACATATAATAATTTCACCGTGTTTAGATCTCCGACATAGCTTAAATGTAACAATACTATCTGAGGTCTTGTCATCTTTCCTTCACTCATACAAGGTTCTCTTTGCTCTGTTCCAATGCAGTTGATAAAGTCCGCTTTCATAAATATAACACTGCCATGCAGTGAGGACAAAACCAGGCCAGACAGTTCACTAACAGCCTGTGAACAATGCTTCCATCTGGCTTGTCCCTGCGTAAGGTGGAGAATCGTGCCCTTTGGAAAATGTGGTCCGTGATTTTTTTAGCCACCTTCTTTCATTAAATAACCAAGTGTTCCTTCTGAGATGAGAAATTGTTTCTCTCTCTTGTCCCATATCAACAGTGTGGGCAGTGCTCATGCACTGAAAACACTGTCCCTACAGATCCAGATGCAAGTGCTATTGGACCTCTTCACTGAGGACTGGATTTGGCCCAGAATGAGTCCTTTGCTGAAAAGCAGCAGCAACACAAAAGTGCACGATCAGCGACCTTTGTCAATAAACGAAGGTCACCAGCTTGTGGGATCTGACCCAGCCCTGAATATCCCAAGATACCCTTTGTTTACTGGGAGAGAGAAAGAAAAATAATGTCAAATGACATGGCAAAGCAGAATAGAAATACCACCATTTAAAAAGTGAGAGACAGCGCGCCCGTTTTGTTCAGCCCAAATGGTTCAAGATACAGGAAAACTTTTTCACCACGAATAAACCATGAAAAAATAGCTGAAAATAAGCCAAGATTTTTTTTTAACCAACAGGGGCCTAGAGTTAGGCTCCTAAATCCATATTTAGACACCCAAGGAAGTGGTTTGACCTTTCAGAAAGTGCTAAGCAACCTCCCACTCCATCAGCTTCAGTCACTAAGGGCCACTGTGATGCTTTGGGGATCAGAAACAGATATGGGCAGAAAAAGCAGCCGGTAACTCTGAAGAACTCTTCAGCTGCGGAAGATTTGCAGCTTCTCTCCATCCCCAAGCCAGTCCTCTGTCTTTTATCCCACCAGCTGCTTCTCCTGGCCAATCAGAGATGGGAGGAAGAAGAGCCTTCTGAGTCCCAAGGAGATATAGAGGGGGAACATTATGGCCTTGGGATTCCTTACTATCAATGTTATGCACCGTGGAGGTTTTTAAAAGGCATATTAGCATTTGAACGGGTGGGCAGTAACGTTCTCATGCTAGAGCACAGGAGTCATTTGCTTTTGAAGCTCCTAGCCTGTCCTTAACATGTGCATTACCCCCCAAAACTAAAAAAAAATGTGTGGTCCTGGAGCACTTTTTGTTGTTTTCTCGTTGTTGGTTTTTTCAATTTTTTTTTTTCGTTTTTTTAAGTTACAGACTAACATGGCTACCCCTCTGAGATATGCAAATTACCTTTTTCTTGTAGCCTTCTGAGTTAAGATCAGGGTCATCCTTGGAAGAGATAAATCCACCAGTAGGAATCAACCCCCCCAGGTCTTTCTTTTCAGTGAGCTGGAGGCTCAGCAATCTCCATGATACCTTTATGTAACATACTAAGGTAGGGTGAACATGTGTTCCCTTTTCGCAAACATCCAGCTGAGAGCCTGAACAAAATGGGTGGGGATCCTTTTCGGCTATCTGATTTTCCTTACTGTTCTTAAAAAAAAAACCAGCATTGCTACTGCACATGAAGCACCAAGATAGGATATAGTGTGCGTGCTGGTAATTCAAGTTCATTGTAGAGAGGGAAGTCAGCCTAGAGGTACATTACAGGGAGCAGCAGCAGGCTACTGTGATAAAGATTTTTTTTTAAATTAAAAATCTGTGCATCACTGAATCCATAAAATGGATTTATTTCAGAGCAGCAGGACGGATTCTTTCCCCACAAGGACCTACTTTTCAAGCTGCACCAATCCTCTTTCATCATAACTAGACCCTGCTCCAAATCCTCATTCTTGTGACTTTCCCAGACTCCGGCTACTCCCTCCGGACCTCTGACCGGCCTCTGGAGCCCACTACGTTCTCTTGTAAGCTCCGAAACTCCCTCTGGAGTTTCTTCCCAGCAACTCTCAGGGTCGCTCCTGGCTCCCTCAAGAGAGCAAAACCACACTGGCGCAGCCCTGCTTATGGTGGCAGGGGAAGGCCTTTGGTCCCAAGGCGGTTCTGAGGTCAGCCGTGATGCTGCATTGCCAGGACCCTGCATTGCCAGGCTGTATACTCTGGTTGGCTTGTAGTCCTCCTCATCCCAAGTTCGGGAACAAAGGGGAAGTCTAGGCTCTCAGCACCTAGCGGGGGATACCCCGTGTCTTAGCTGGAATTAGTGCTCAGTGAACTGTGCTGGTAGGCTTGGAAAGGAGGAACTTGCTTGGCTAAAACAGAAGTAGCTGTCTTTATGCCCCAGTTGCAGAGAGGAGGGTATCAAGGCTGGGGGGGACCCTCAGACCTTGGGACAGGTAAGTTTCCTTTCCTGGGAAAAAATACATACACTTTTAAACTAGTACAATAAATACATCAGCAGCTTTTTACATTCCTTTGATGGGGGGCCCAAGCGACGCCAAGGGATCTCACACATTTAGTGCAAGTTCACGGGGGTTACGGCATCTCCTGCAAAGAACTGACCCAAACGACTCAGGGATGTATGGATTAGAGGACACCGTGCAGTGTTACAGATGAGTCCGACCTGCATACGGCCCGCGTCGCTTGGTCCAGTTGGGACTTCTGCTGCATCACAGGCCAGTTATAGAAGTGATCCAGTCCCGATAGTAAGTCACGCGCGTGTAGACTCCCGGCTTATTTGGTTTACCACATTCCTCTCCCCAGCTCACTATTCCCACGAGGTACCACATCCCTCTAGAATCCGGACTAACCAGCGGGCCACCAGAGTCACCCTAGGAAAGGAGAAAAAAAATTCCAATGTACCAGAAGGGAAAATACAGCTATTTCCACAGACAGCAGGGTAGAGAAGGGGACAGCTTCCTTCGGACGAAGATGGGGACAGAGCAGCGTTTGAATGAACACCGTCAACATGAAATTCTGCAAACGAAGGTGTGATTGCTTCCTGGCTTGGGTAACAGCTGTAGTGAAGACGTGACAGCACCAGCATCCACATGGGCCAACAAACAGAGTAGGTATCCAGAACCCCTGGTGGATTTATGCTGAAATAGCTAGTCTGCACCAAAGCTGATGCCGCCATGTTTTCACAGCTACTGTTGTCCACACTTGCTAGATTAAAGCTACCCTGGGCATGCTGGTTTGTGCTAGTCACGCCTTCATTTGCACTGCAGACAGGCCCTACATGATAAGCTTTTTCTGGTTTCTCACCAGCCCTTGACTTCCCCTACCAGTTTCTGTTGGTTTACAATCCTATTTCCCAGTTATAATGTTTTAAGTTTCTCTCTCAACAGGGGAACCTGACTATGGGCTTGACTTTCAAGCCCCCTGAAGTCAGAGCAAATCTTTCCAGAGAAACAGTTTCACAGCTGTACACCAAGTGCTGTCAAACACTCACAGCAAATGGAACAAGAACAATATTTTCCCTTCACTCCGTTTCCTACTAAATACTCTTAGGTCCTACTTGTTAAACGTTTGCAGTCAGAACTGTAGTTTTTAAGTTGATGACATTTCTTTCAATATTAAACACTTAGCCTCTCTCAGATTTTAAAATTCAGACACTGTAAATAGCATCACACAGAAATCGGATTGGTCTAGGAAACTTATAGGATTTGAGGCAGGCTAGTTCTGGTATAACTGTGAAAGCCTATAGTGAAAGATATAAATGACAACTGTTCCCTTTAGTCTTTTTCTATGAGACGGAATGGGACACGGGGAGTAGGTTATCTGGACAGTTAGGCCCACATCCTGCAGAGACTTTTGCATGTAGTAATTTCACGTGCTTTGAATTGAATGGGAATACTCACTTTATACAATTAAGCACATGCAGAACTCCTTGCAGGATTGGAGCCATAAGAAGGAGCTGTTAAATATTTACACCCAACATTTAGATAAACGTTTCAGAACATTGATACTCATAGACATGGTAAAAATATTGCCATGGAGACTATTGTTGTTTGGCCATTCACATTTCCTGGCTGTCGGATGTGCAAAGACGTGTCAGCATCTCGTGTGCCTCTTGTTAATTTAGGACGATCTTTAATTATTGTTTCAACCCGTTTCCCTGGTACTGAAGCTGTCTCGCTGCTCTGTAATGCCAAAGATCAACTCTAGCACCTTTTTTTTAAAGATGGGCACTTTTGCTGCTCTCCATACCAGACACTGATTGTAATGATTGCTCAGCCATTTCATTCCTAAACTCCTTCAGAATTTTTGGTTGGTTACTCTCTGGTCCTGGATGCCTGTCACTGTTGACTTTTTTTTTTTTTAATGTTTCACACTTCAGTCTGAAATGATGCCTCATTTTTATTACTGGGGCGGAGGGGGGGGGCGGAGAGAGAAGCAGGCCAGGTGTTACTCACAGTCAAATCTAAAAACTTCCTAACTGTCAGGGTGGTTAAACACTGGAATAAATTGCCTAGGGAGGTTGTGGAATCTCCATCACTGGAGATTATAATAGCAGGTTAGACAGACACCTGTCAGAGAGATGGTGTTTGGTCCTGCCGTGAGGGCAGGGGACTGGACTTGATGACCTCTGAGGTCCCTTCCAGTTCTAGTGTTCTAGGAGTCTACCAAAGATACAGTACAAAGTAATTTAAACCTTAAAGGGCAGACTCTCATTTATATTAAGGCCATTTTATGCCATTCTAGCAATGTAAAGGGGCCTTAAATAGGTATAACTATAATTAACCTTAACTACGGTGTCATGACCAGCTTCAGCATACCGATTTATTCGCACTTTAAATTGTGGGTAAATGAGAATCGGTCCCACTTGCTACCAGATCACTTGACCACACGCAGTCAGCAGCTGCCGGGCGGGCATGGAGGAAGGCTGCCGCCGCAACACAAGGAAGCCAGGAGATGGCAATACTTTTGGCAGCTGATGCTGGTGGACAAACTGCGATGGGAAATGAAGAACAGGCCACAAGCCAGCTCTGAATTGCAGGGCTCCAGTCAGATCTTACATAGCTGAATGACTGTACATTTACAAGGACAGGTTGGATCTCCCACGTCCAGCACCCTCGGGACCTGTCTGATCCTGAATGAGGGATTTTGCCAGACCAAGGGAGGTCATTTCTGACCCCCCAGCTCCCACCCTATCCCCCAAGTTTTCCTGCAGTTCATCTGAGGGGGGTGTTGGTTCCCAACCCCCTTTCCCCCCCTGCAGCCCACCTGAGCTGCACACCAGGCTTCCTGGCTCTCATCCCTCTGCCCCCTACAGCCCAGCTGGGCTATTCGTCACCTTTCCCCTTGCACCGCGCCAGGCTCCCGGTCCCCTACCCCCGCAATGCCAGGATTCTCGGATCCGGGAACATCTGTGGTCCTCGCAGCCCACGGATGTGGCAGAGTGTGCCGGTCTGCAGAGTTGCCACCTGTATCATGCTAGTTCTGACCACGAGCTTTGTGTCCCCAACTGCTTGTGACAAATGTCTTCTTTTTACACGCCTCTTAGCCCGACTCAGGGCAGCCAACAGACGTCCCGGGGCCCCAGGCAAGGTGAGGAGACTCTAGGCCCCCAGAAGATGTGGGGCCTCCTATAGAAGAGACAAGGCTTCCCACCTAGACCTTTTTCAGCACCCTCCCTGGGGCTCTGGCAGCAATTTAAAGGGCCCAGAGCTCCAGCCACTGAAGTTGCCGCCATAGCGGTAGCGGTGCCCTTTTAAATTGCCAGTCCCTGAGGCAGCTGCCCCCTTGGTCCTTCCCTCCCCCCATAGGCAGGCCCCGAGTCTTGGCTGAATCAGAACCCATATCACCAAAGCACGCAAGGCAGGAGAATGTTAGTTCAGATTTGGGGGATCATTGTATTCAAGCACTGAACGTGACGTTCCCGACTAGTGCGTAGTATCGAGCTTAGACCTACCTGACAAGCATCTACTCCTCCTTGTAGGTATCCAGCGCACAGCATCCCCGGGGCAACGAGCCCGTGGTACACTTCTTCCCTGTTGCACGTGTCTGTGTCTATGAGCTTCACCGTTGCTTCCTGGAGAACATTCAGATTCTGAACTGAAGGGGGAAAATGGCGTCAGTGTCCAAAAGCATAAAGATGTGAAAGGAGCATTGGGCATCTGTTCACGGGGGAGAGTGCCGGGCTGGGTTAAGAAAGATGAAATAGAGCTGCTTCCGCTCGTACCACGTGTCCCAGATTGCAGTAATATCTGGGAAGAGTCGTACACACATTGTAACCAACACTGCTTTGCAGGAAGAGCTTGACGAGTTCCCTCATAAAGAGCGGGGACTGATTACGATGGCACACTCTCCCATCAGGAGTTAGAAGTTGTGTCACTGCGGCAGGAGAGGCGGCCTACCCCAGCCTGTTTATTCCTCAATGCACTACCACGCCATGGCGCATCGGCTAATCCTTTCAGCCGGTCACATGGAGCCAAGGTGGCTTGCTTCTCCGGCTAGCTGTGTCCTGAGTGTGCGATGCGAAGCAAGGGTGCATCTACGTGGCGCCGTTCTTTCGAGATAACTAGCGTTCTTTCGAAATAATGTGAATGTCTACACAGCCATTCCGTTATTTCAAAATAATGACGAAATAACGGGTAGCTAAATCCTAAATCTGTAAACCTCATGCTACGAGGAATAACGCCTCTTCCAAAAAAGCTATTTCGAGATGTGTCGATGCTCCACTGCTGCTATTTCGAAATAGCCCCTCACCCGGGCCATTCCAAGTTATTCCTCCCCAGTGCCTCCTGAGGCTCTGAATGGATATAGTACATCCACGTTAGGGAAGCCTGCCTCAGACTCATTTTGAGGCTTCCCTGCAGTGTAGACGTGCTATTTCAAAATAAGCTATTTCGGAATAACTATTATTTCGAAATAAGCGTGCAGTGTCGATGCACCCCAAGTGACCTATCTCCTGCTCAGTTTACACCTTCGCTCTATGGTTTTACAATACATCTCTCATGAAGGTCGGGGGAAAACCCAGTCAAGCTCAGCACTCGGTTGTCGTATTCACTCCACAAACACATTGCTAGACAGCGCCTGCACCATAGAGCTTGTAGTAAAAAATGTACGGACAGAAACAGACCGTCAGACTCCTCCCTAGAGCTGCTGAAAGGTTTGTCTTTTCCCAGTAGTGACGCACAAGGAAATGTGGTTCTTATTACATACATAATTTTTCATTTGCAAGGATTAAACAAGGTGGCTGCGTCTGCACTGGCACCCTTTTCTGGAAATGCTTAAAACGGAAGAGTTTTCCGTTATAAGTATTTCCGGAAAAAGCGCGTCTACATTGGCCACGGACGCTTTTCCGGGAAAAGTGCTTTTCCGGAAAAGCAATGACGATCTACTGTAAAATTGTCAGTGTTTTTCCAGAAAAACTATGCTGCTCCCGTTTGGGCGAAAGTCCTTTTCCGGAAAAACTGTTCCGGAAAAGGGCCAGTGTAGACAGCACAGTAGTCTTTTCCACAAAAAAGCCCTGATCGCGAAAATGACGATTGGGGCTTTTTTCCGGAAAAGCGCATCTACATTGGCCACGGACGCTTTTCCGGGAAAAGTGCTTTTCCGGAAAAGCAAGCGGCCAGTGTAGACAGCTGGCAAGTTATTCTGGAAAAGCGGCTGCTTTTCCGGAATAAGTGGCCCAGTGTAGACACAGCTGATGTGTCTGCACAGCTACTCTCACTTAAACAACTAGATGGACTCATCATGAATGTAAAGCATTCAATATTGGGGGAGGTTGGGGTCACAAGTGGAGGTACCCACCTTCGCCTTTCTGTGCTCCCCAGCCTGTGACGACGGCATCAGAATTATATGGGAAAATCTGAGCAGGATCCGGCAGACAGATGCGATGCACGCTACTCGTAAAGTCAACGTGCTCTGAGAGTTTCACGACAGCTATGTCGTGCTTGGGTGCTGGATATTGGTACTTTTCATGGACGATAATAGCCTTGACAGAGCGTTTCATTCTTGGTGGCCTTAAGAGATTTCCAAAGGTGACAGTCCATGCATGTGGGTTTTTAGAGCTGGAAAATATTACAGAACTTCATAGGTATTTAAGCTCTGGAGATCAAGGACAGTAGACTCCGGCCAGCGTATGTAGCTCAAAACCTCCCCCAAACCTCTCCATAAAATCCTTGGAAGATCTCGGTGGAATAGAGAATTGGGCCTACACCATCCCATCTGTTTTACCCACCGGCCAACCCATACATGTGGCTAGGGACCTACCCAATACACAAAGGGAACACAGCACACAACAGCAGGTAACCAGAGGCATTTGCCTTGCCGTTTGCTGACTCTTAATCTATTCCACCCTTTACATTGATTGGTGCTGAAGGATGTGACAGTCTTGAGTACCACCTTGGCTATTCAAAAAGCAGTGGTGGAACCATCACATTTTAATCTCCGCTCCAACGGGCAGCTCACACTCTTGTCCATAAAAGGAAAGGGATAAGGTGACCTAAGGGCTCAGAAATCATGTATATTTGGGCCAAGCTGCAATAGTTCTAATTCATTCCTCTTGCTCTAGATCACCTTAGGCAGAGTAGCTCCCTTTGGAGCATTCTTTTCTTCAGGAACTGTTTTCTCGGGCTTCCAAAAGACTGGCCACAGCTCTCTGCCTAAAACTTGGCCACGTTACCACGGCCCTTCCGGGGCCTGGCATTGGTTCTAAGTGGAGCACCATTTGTTGTGCAGGTCAGTACATACCACGTCTTACTGCAGCCACTTTCCAAGCCAGGAACTTACTGTCTAAAGCAATGAGCCGCAGATACCAGCCACGTGTTGCTAATCAGTGTGGCCCCGCAATGGTGGATGTTGTTCTGCTGTAAACTCGCTTGCCATGGCCAGTCCCCAAGCTGTGCAGAAGACGCCCCTCCGACGACTCTGTTTGATGTGGATGCTGATTTCGATCTATTCGGTCGCAACCCACAGACTGACAAGGTGAGGAGAGAGAAAATCATTCATTTCTCACTGAATTAACCGCCTATTGATGCCTCTAGGCGCATGTACAAAATGCCCCGTAAGATAATATGCAATTAGACCCTGAAATGATATAATGTCAAACTCAAAACACTCCGGCTGTATCTAGACTACAAGGAAAAGTTGGAAAAAGATATACAAATTGCAAACCACAATTTGCAAATCTTTTTCTGCTTTTCTCCCGAAAGAGGCTTTTCCGACATTTGGCCTGTCTACACTGGGCCAAATGTCAGAAAAAAAGCCTCTTTTGGAACATCCCTTCTTCCTCGTAGAACGAGGCTTACAGGGATGCTGAAAAACACGCCTGCTTTTCCGAAATTTTTTTTGGAAAAGCAGATGCATTCCTTGGGCGTGGCAGAGCTTTTCAAAAAACTCTGCAGTCTAGACGTACCCTCCCTGAAATTCGGGCTGTCAACACTCACCTCTTCAATAAAGCCCTGAGAGAACAGATGACATTTGTGGAGAGCCACTAAAGTCAATGAACTCAGGCTTAATTGCATGACTAAGGCCTTGTCTTCACTCCACGAAAGATCATGGTTGCCACAATCGATCTCCCAGAGTTTGATTTAGCGGGTCTAGTTCAGACTCGCTAAATCAAATTCAGAGGGTGCTCCCGCTAGTACTCCTACTTTAGTGAGCTGCCGGGTCTAGTGTAGACTTGGCCTTAGGGGAGCAAATTCTAGAGTCAAGAGTCCTTCACCCGCCCCCAGGATTGTCAGTTTGATTGTCACAGTTGGTCTCAGTTGCTAGGATAAGAGGCCTCTCTAAGATAAGCAGGACATGGACCAAAAAAGCAGCACCTTGAATTTCAGCCAGACATGACTTGGAAAATAATGCCACACATGGAGCATGCCTGCAATGCTCTCTCGGTGAAACACTATCCATCCAAGCTAGCTGCTGGATTTCCACCAATGGAAGTTTCCAAAAGGTCCTTGAGTGTAGCTCCAAGCAGAGCACGTGGCGCTAATCTAAGCTGGAAGTGACAAAGGCTACGGATAACCACGGCCCGGTGTGCGGCTGGCAGGAAAGATGACAAGCTCTTCGCCAAGAGGAAAAGAAGGCAAGATTCTTGGCTTCTGTTCATTCCTGGAAATAATTCAGGAATATCCGACGGTCTGTCAGGCATCAGGCCCTCAGCTGTGGTATTCGCTTCACCTGGTATCCTAAGGAACCAGCCAAGCTGCCTGGCGGCCTGCCCTGCCTACCTGGCTGAGAAAGCCAGAAGGCCAGTTCTTAAACCGAGTGGCAGCCGTAACTTGCAGCCTGCTCAACACACCTGCCCACAGATACTTTGCATCCCTGTGCGCATCTCCCCAAGCTCTGCCCCTGCCCAGCACCCAGCCATGCCCAGCCCCACTCCTGCCTCAGAACCAGCCCTGCTCCGGCCTTCCCTGACTTCTGGTAATCTGGTTCCGACACCAAACTCTGACTCCCCATTCCAACTCTGCTCAACCTTTGGCTCTGGCTTTCGGATTCTGACTTCAGTTCCACCCGCAGCTCTGGCACCTGGCTCCGACCCTGACTTCAGGCTCTGGAATTCAGCTTCTGACCACTAGGCCGGAGTCCTGCTCTGACTATTAGGCCTGTCTGCCTAGTCTCCTGACGGCGTGAGCGGCCCAAATTCTACAACCAGGCTAGTATAGATCCCTTCTGGCCAGTCTTTCCTGGCTGGTGATAGAGGGTTACCTGACTGACATTGCAAGCCCAGGTCATGGCCCTACAGGCCCAGAATGCAGCTCTGCCCTGACTTCACCCCTGTCCCATCTGGACCACATGAGCCAAAGATTCTCCTGATTGATAAGTCTAATAGTGTCGGGGGCACATTTCAGCTCCTGGTCCTGCTGCGCCCGCAGACATTCCCCACTGGCCAATGCAGAAAGGAGCTCATTTTTAGGTGGCTGGCGGGGGAAGCAAGCCCGCGGGTGAGCTTGACGACGTCACGTGAGCCACGGTCAGGCCTTGTGAGCATAGAGCGGAGACCCCCGTCGGGCAGCCCGGCAGCAGAGACTGGATGGAACACGACCGCACCGTTTTAGAACTTCTGCCTCAGCCTCAAGGAGGCCATCAAAGATGCGCTCGCATGTGAGGGATTCCCTGCCCACACTGTGTGCATTGATCAGTAGGGCTGGAACAGTGGGGAGGCGCTATTCCTTATTACCCACTTCAGTCCAGTCCACTGTCTCCACGTTATCACTTGAGTATTTTGCTCCGGCCGGCTTTCCACTCCTTAAAAACAATTGTGCACTGTTTGTTTTAACCTGGGCTGCTTTCCAGTTGACGGTGCCCCTTTATGTGAAACCAGAAGAAACTGGGAGGCTTCCCCACCGCCCCCCATGACTGCACAAGGGGGAAGTTCGCTACTTTGCTAAGTTTGCGGCAGCTCTGTGTGATGTATAAGGCCAAACACACTCAAGTGGGAAAACGCTCAGAGACTCTATGTCTTAACCCAGCCAGGGAACTGCCAAGCATGCAGGGCTTTCACTTACAGTCATTGAAGAGAGTTTCAGCTTTCTCTGGCTTCATATCTGAAATGAACAAACACACAGAGTGAGGTCGGCACAGCTCTGGCTTTTTTACATATAAATTCAACTCAAACAAGGGCTCCAAGTAGGCCCAGCCTACTTTACATTCGACACTTTCCATTCAAATTTGAATAAAGACGCTAATTATCTTACCCATTACAAAGATAGCTTCCCCAATTATTGCCTCTAATATCATTAGCTCACAGACATTTACCTTTCCCCCCCTTTCCTCCCCCCCTCCCTCCCCCTCCTGTTCTGAAATGTGATTTGTCCTTTTCATATGTGTTCATTTTTTTAATTGTATCCTTTGGTATATATGGTTGTGACAATTTTCTTCCACTATTTGATCTGAGGAAGTGGGTCTGGCCCACGAAAGCTCATCACCTAATAAACCATCTTGTTAGTCTTTAAAGTGCTACACGGTCCTGTTTTTTGTTTCAGCCCAGAGTAAAGAGTGGGGTATAGGTGAAGTGCTAAAGAGAAATCCCCCAGAGGCGGAATATCGCCTGGTGCGCTATCCCACCTGGTGGGGGGTGGCTTAGTCGTTTTCTAACCAGCCAGCTATCTCCTCACTGCATAGGACAGGGAGAACCACATCTCCTGCTCTCCCCCACGCTCTGCAGCAGACAGGACAGACAGGCTGGTCCTGAGCTGAGAGATCTTCTGGGCAGGTACCACAGCCAGCGTTAGTCAGTGGTGGCTCATTGATTTCAGAGAAGTTAGGACACACTAAGCATCAGCTCCTGCAGCTTCTTATCTGGAGTGGGAGGTGGCTGGCACACTTTTGGAAGGTGAACTAAATAAACAAAAGCACATGCTAATGCTTTGCAGCAGGCACTGATAGGCCTGTGGAAATCTCCCTTCTCCCAGTTCATGACTGCATGTCTCCTGTGTGATGCGGCACCCACGGAATTCTGTGTAAAGGTGATCCGTGATGTTAGTGTGCACGGGGATCGGGCCCACGTGCATCGGTATAATTCTTTGGCTCCAACACCCCCTTTTTTAACCAGAACCCTGTTCCTGGTCGCTCACAGGCCAGTGGAAAACCTCACCTGTTCAATATAATTTTTAATCTTGTCCAGTGTCTCTTGAACAGCCGCCAACACCTAGGTATCATCTGATACCTCCCCCTTCTCCACTCCCCTCCCCTCCACCTTCTCGTCATCACTGTTGTGATGGTGTCAGGCCAGATGGCTATGAGAAAGTTACAGAACTCAGGTATATTTGCCCAATCTTAAACAAGTCCCTGTTCCCCATGTAAACAAACAAGGTCTACCCCAGCTTAATTAAGACACCTGTAGTCAACCAAGAACCTGCATTGCCCAGTGGAGACTGATAGGTTAATTAAGACTCCAGGAGTCAATCTAGACTGTGCTAGAACAAGTTGAGAGTGTTAGGTTTAATTGGGATACTTGGAGCCAAGCAGGGACAGAATGGAACATGTTAAAAGCCTCCCCTTTCGTCGGTTTAAGGGTGTACTAGGATCGGTGGGAGGAGGACACGCTGCTGGAGGAAAAGGAACCATAGAGATGCTGTCAGGTACCAGGAGGGAATGCTGCATGTACAGAGGTGAGGGCATGGAGACCTGCCCTGGGGAAGAAGACACCTTCTGGCCACAGAAGTCCAAGGAAGATAAAGCCCTTCTAGAGGAGAGACGGAGTTAAGTAATCTAGTCCATTGCCTTCACGTCTGCAGAGGCCACTAAAGAGTAGGATATTTCCCCCTACCTTCTTCCCAGATATGCCAATGACGAGAGTGGCTAAATCAGACTACAGCAAGGGCTTAGATTAGAGCTGTAGGAACCACTGAGATGAGCAATTCAACCCAGAGTTGCCATTTTCGCTAGAGGAGGAGAGATAATACTCAGCCTGCAGCTGCCCAGATGCACTGGACCCACTGTGGGAAATTAGGAGCTCTGTCATGCTACCCTTCTGCATTTCCTGCTCCTCCACCTTCTCTACCATCCCCTTGGTATCACCCGACGCCAACCCTCCCCTGCTTCCTTCTCCGCCTTCTCTACCATCCCTCTGGTACCACCCAAAGCCAACCCTTCCCCATTTCCTTCTCTACCATCCCCTTGGTATCACCCGACACCAACCCTCCTCCGCTTCCTGCTCCTCCGCCTAATCAAGGGCATATGAGCAGGTCTCAATATCTCCATTTGATTTCTCAGAATGGGGTGTATGTTCCATTTTCCTCCTCCAGCTTATTGTACTTGTAGCCAAGTGGGAATAGCAGGCTGCCAGATACTCCGTTTGAGACCCAACCTGAGGAACACTCAGCAAAAATCCAGGTCAGATCTTTATCTGCATGGCCACTAGGGGGACCCAGTCAGGACGAGTGAGAACATCAGCCTCCTACATGCTGGACTCTGTGCTTATAAAAGCGTCTAGCAGGTTTTGGGTGGCAAGTGAATAAATAAAAATAATAGAGGTCTTCTTATATCAAACCCATGCATGACTCTTGTTGTTTATGGCCAAAGCCTCTGGCTCTGGGTCAGATGAGAAAATGTTCTGTGTACTTTGGTGTGATGCCAACCATCTTGCAGCCGGTTTCTTTGTTTCCTGACAAAAGCCAGTAGCCAGCTTTGCACTTGGGTAGGCCTGCGAGCGGGCAGCAAGGGAGAATGGGCTGGCAATTAGCTTCCTTTTTGGTCTGCTGGCTGGAGCAGGGAGGGGAATCAGGCTGTAAGTTGCTATCCCTTCTAACCTTGCTGATGAGAGAGCGTGGGAGGATGGGAAAGAAATTTGACTGTGTACGCCTTCTCAGGAGACAGAGCAGCATGGGAGGAAGAAAGGGGCTCATGACTCACATTGCTCTCCACGCCAAGTACCAGAATGAATCTAAGCTGGTTCTAAGGCACCCAACACTGCTCCTGCCACCTGAGGTGTTATCTGGTAACAATGGGACTTTGGTTGCTTTCTCTTCCAAGAGAACTAGTCTGGTGAGCAACCGCGGCCTACCTGGAGCCCACAAAAGAATGGGAGTTCAGCTGGCTTCCAGCCGCAGTGGTAGAAAAACGCATTGTTCTGAGAAGAGACAGGAAGCTTTGGGTTGTCTCCAGGAGCTCACAGGAGCAGGAGAAAGATTCCAAGCACGTGTATTTTCTACTGTACTTGGTGCATGAAGAAACCATTATCTTTCCACTGCAGAAATACTAAATAGAATAACTACAAAGATTAAATATCACTGCCGTATCTTCAGTATATGATTTACCAAAATTAACGTCCCAGTGTCTAACAACGAGACAAAATAGAGACACTTGTCCCCTCTTTCAGCCCCGCAAAATTCTTATTTCCCAACTTGCCTCAAACAACGTATTTGAAGGTATGTTTCTTTTAAGAGGGCTTCTAAAATATCAGCAGCCTTTCTAATACAGTAAAACTCAGATAGTCCGGTATCCAACTGTTCGGCACTCCTGATACTCCGGCATCAAAATGCCAAGTGCTCCCGACCAGCTGATTAAAAAGTCTGCCACTTAGCACATGCGCTGGCCGTAACCAGAGGAAGCATAAGGTTGGGGGAGAGGGGGAGGGAGATTGTGTCCTGGCCAGCTGTTAAGCCGTGCAGCTGTACCGGACCTCCTGATTCTCTGGCAAATCTGATAATCTGGCACCACCTAGGTCCAAAAGGTGCCGGATTATCGGAAGTCTACTGTGTATCTGCCACCACCACTGTGATAGAAGGGGGCAAACAAAGGCTGGCAAATTTTCACTAGCTTCGCGAGGCCATCCTTGATCACAGCTGAAAGATCGCAGATTATGTACCAGACTCATCAGGAGCTTGTTCCAGCTGCTCCCCAGCATCAATCATTTTGGAGCAAGTACAAGTTGAGACATGGTGTTGAACAACAAGTTGATTAGATATGAGGAGGATAGTTTTCTCATTCTCCTTATTGGAACCTCCTAGTATTCCATACAAATGAGTATCTGACCTGGATTTGCTGTCAAATAGGCTGGCAGACACCTGTGACTACTAACTCCTAATGGATGCAAATACATATCTCGCTCTGTTACCTCATCCCCTTGCACCACCAGCTGTTACATTGTCTATCTGCTGCATACGGTCAAAATCCCAGATGGTGAATTGTTGTTTGTTTAGGTATAGCGCAGTGGTGCCCTGATCGTTGAATGGGATCTGCAGGTATTGCTGGAGTATGAATAATAATCGTTATAATACAAAGCAGAACTTTTGCTACAAAGCACATTGGCTGGGGGTGAGCTGATTTTTAAGCAGTGGAATATTCCACTTGTCCCACATCACAGGTGACTAATGGCCCTTTCCTGAGCAAATACTTGGCACGAGCCAGC